GCGAGAAGTAGGCTGGCCCGGCCCTCCGGAGCCAGGAAACTCAGTTGTGTTTTCCATTTTTAATATAGCAAATTGAGACTTATATGCAAGTCAAGTAACAGTGAGTCCGTCAGACAATCAGTTAGTCGATAAGTCAGCCAGGTGCAAACATGAGTATAAGGCCGTGTCAGAATTGATAGGCGGCGGCTAGAAATGACACACGTGTATATGGTAGCGGCTGCAGCATTGCAAACCAGGGGCCGTATCTTAAGTCCGACGCCTCATAGGTCCGACGCCTCATAAGTCCGACGCCTCATAAGTCCGACACTGGAAATCGAAGCGTACGAGGCGTCGGACCTATGAGGCGTCGGGCATATAATGATGCGTCGGACCTATGAGGCGTCGGACTTATGAGGCGTCAGAGCTATGAGGCGTCGGACTTATGGGCCTTTATTTGGTTGGGGGATGCGATTTTGTCGGACTTATGAGGCGTCGGACCTATGAGGCGTCGTACTTATGAGCGGACCCCGCAAACCATGACCAAGTAATTTGGACACGGCCTAATTACATGCTAATGTATATTTATAGTGCACGTGTATAATCCACCAATATTGTTGCTCAAGGGTTATACATGTACTTCATTATTATTGCTCATTTGCTGTTCGCTGTCATATGGATTATGAAAAAAAAATGAACTGGGCTTTACAACTGAAGGCAGGGATAGGATTGTTAGATGAAATGAGTTAAATTTATCAAGGAACATGAGTTTTGGGGCATGCATTTAAAATGCCAGATCTGTTTTTGTAATTCTCCTGGTTAGGGTCTCAAGGGTTATACTTTGATATTATCGCTCATTTGGGTCACTGATGTATTCCAAAGAACAATGGATAAAAAAGGAGCGTCTAAGGTCACTTTGTCCATGGCAAATGCCGTGGTCTATTATGCTTGACCAGATTCGCTGATTAATTTAAAGACCCCGCCTCTTGACCACCTAGATTTTGACCAATCAGCGGGCGCTTTTTATATCGGGTCTTCGGTCATTCACCCGCTCGTATGTTTCAGCCGCTCATTTAACCTGCGCGCAAACGCACTCAAAATATGAAATACTGATAATCAGCAAACATGGATGCCTGCAGTCTCAGTTTGACCCACTGGAAGAATCGGTCAACATCACGCTCGAAGTACTTTGATACATTTTTCTTTCCACGTGGACAGGAATTAAGGCAATCAAAGTCACTTCTGCAAACTTAGCGTAAAAAAACAGAGAGTATTTGACGCAATTTTTATGTTTTTCCGTGTCGTGTAGTAGGAAACTATTTGGTCACAAATTCAAAACAGGCGACAGTTTAGGGGATACAATTTCAGTTTTGCCGAGTAACTGCAAACTTGTCTTCACTGAAAAATGGTAAAGGATGCCACGGAAAGTGCGATGTATAAATATCATTTAAGTTGGAAACCGTTTCAATGAGAAAAGTAAGGTCTCAGGTTATAGGTTTTTTCGTTGAATGTAACATTATTGTGCATCTACACTGTACACGAACCCTGGATCTGGACCGTCTAGCCACGCGCCACGCGGCGCTCCCCGTTTGTAATCTTTCGACGCGTTGGAAATGTATATACATTTAACCGAAACGATTTACAACTGACTGGTTCCCGCCCCTGAAATGCATTTAGTACGATCATAGAGGGCACTGGGACCAGTTTATTTGTGCACAAAACTTTCAAAATGGGTTTACTCGAAAAATTACGATTTTTATAAGCTACAGGTTTGCTTTTTACATCAAGTCACCTGTAAAATGAAAATAATCTATCACCCTTTTCGATGGTACTATTGCTGATTTAAGGTAAATTCGGAAAATTTACCAAATGTGTAAACCAAACTCAAAAGCGAACGATGTTTTTCCTTTTCATTTTGTACGATTTTTTGTCCATAATTATTGTTTTTTTCATATATTTAAAAAGGTTTTTTTAGCGCCGTTACCACACTGTAGAGACAATTTATATCTTTGTTCACTTGGTCTACTGATAATTTTTGGTTTGAATCATCTTTTAAGTAATGCGAGAAGGATACATTTTAAGACATGAAAACCAGACAATGGTTCAGTGCGTCGTCTGCTACCGCTGTTTGCAAGCCGACGACGCGGAGGAAACCATTGCGCCGTACGGCGCGGTATTGTACGTCAGGGGATCAGACTATGAATATGCATGTATTTCGGGTAATTATACAACATATATAATACGCGCTACGTACATTAGGCAAAGCAGGTGCGCACGCATTACACAACCAATAGACGAATCCAAGCGCGGTTTACGAAAGGGCGCCCTCTTTCTTTCCCGCCATTACTGGGACGCATTTTGCATTATGCATGTGACCGCTGACCTCTGATTATCGATCGGTATGGCGGGAGATATAAACGAAGTGCACAGTAGCAGACGATCAACAACAAAATTATGTATTTTAGACCTTAATGTTTTATTTAGTTTGTTGTTCTTTACCACATTGATGGTGTAATTGTTTTGCTTCAAGAAAATATGTCTAAGAATAAAAAAATCCTCCAAGACATGACTAAAATTATTAATTTACGCGCACTGCCCGGCGGAATTTGTCCGTGTCCTAGCGCGCAATTCGTTCAGTCTTCGACGGGGCTTGCGTGGCGTCAGCCCCCCCGTGCAGTCAACTGCATTCACGGTGCGACTATTTGGGTGTCATGACATGGTGCAGCCGTGTACAGCTGATTTATTTATTGCCAGGATTAGGTTTTGTATCTGAATAGCTACCAGCATTACAACTGCACACAGGTGAGTTTCGCTTCTGACATGTCTGACAATGACGCGAAGAAAGGCTTAGAAAAAGAGAACTTGAACAAGCTGAAGTCGAAGTTGCAAATTTTCTGGGTAGGCCTAGCCCTAGGCTTTAGCCTGACGTTTTACATTATCATGCATGATTAGTACTAGCAATACTTCATGTATTTTTAGCAATTCATGTAAGCCTTGTAACAGGCCTAGATTTTCTCATAAGTCCTGTGCAATCCCTTCCAAAGTTTAAAAATAATTGTGCACAATGTAATTTTCCAAATTATCATTATAAATCAGTGATATAAGTCATGGAATGCCAACCAAAATGGTCATGATCAGCAATATTGTTTTTGTTCATCTTATAACAGGCCTAGCGTTTTTCCAAAAACATGTAATTCATGGAGTGGACTGATGATGTACGTCAGTGGCCTAGGCTAGAATTTCAAGGTAATTTAAAAAGAAGGCACGGTCATTTACAGATTACAATTTACAGATAACTTTATTTTCAGTAGGTTTAGAAAACTATGCACAATCATATTTGCAATAGAATTATGAATTATCTTTTGCAATTACTAGTCTGTCTATGGTCAGTTGCAGGATCTTTTTTTGAAGTTGCTGTTTTTTTTAATTTTGTGATATGGATGAGGCTGCATATGTGTACATTTTAGTTAATTTCAATTATTCTTTCAAATCTTAATAAATATGTATTACTTTTTACATGAAATATACATAAATTTTAATTCAATTCATCTATTATCTCAAATAGTCTTCATAAATAATTATTACGTTTTTACATGAAAGACATGTGCGCTGTAAGTAAATTCAATTATTGTTTCAAAAAATATTAATAAACATTACCGTTAACTCTTTTTAATTTCAGATATTTATGACTTCTACATAAATGGACCTGCATGCGATGATCATCCCAATTTAAATCATAGAAGTATAAGTGAGGGGCTTAACTACCTTCATTCCGGATAGGCAGGAGCTATAAAGCATTGCTACAAAACTGTTAATAAGGACATTATTACACTGGCTGGTCAAATTCGCTTTTCCCAGAGGATAAACAACTTTCACAATGTTGAAGTAACAGTGAATAAAGCAAATAGGCAAATAGTTACTGTGAAATGTAATTGTACTGCTTCTGAGGGGAAATCCTGCAGCCATTCAGCTGGCCTTCTCTTCAAAATTGTGGAAGCTAACAAGTGTGGATTCACAGCCAGTTCATGTACGGATAAAGCGTGCATCTGGAATCATTCAACACAGGAAAATGTACTTCCAGACAGCATAAGTAATATCCGAGGAAAGAATGAATCCACCGTCAATACAAGTCTTGCATTTGATACTGATGAGCAACTTATGGACCATTTGAATAGCTCAACACTGAAGGAACTATCTGCAATACCCGGAACTATTTTAAATCACCTTAAATCAGCCAAGCCATTATCCCATCCCCACAACAAGCGCACACTACCCGACCATGAACTGCACAACACCAACATGGAGTGCCCTGCATGTCTCATGACTTATGAGAAATACGTGCACCTTTCAACTACTGACGCTGTATTGCTTGCACAGTCTACAGTTAACCAAAAGTGTGCTCTGTGGACAACACAGAGAAAACTTCGAATAACAAGCAGCACAGCAGCTAGTGTTCCCAAGAAAGTTGGCACAGACCCTGCCAAGTGGATTGCAAATCATTTGCACCCAACATTCTTAGGAAATTCTGCAACTCGTTATGGGCAAGAACATGAAGCGGTTACACGTGAGCAGTTTGAGAGGGACACTGGTAAACATGTGGAAACCACTGGTCTGGTTGTCAATCCAAAAGAAAGCTGGCTAGGAGCCAGTTTAGATGGAATTGTTGATGAAAATACCATCCTTGAAATTAAGTGCCCCACACAACAGAAACTGTCTAAATATGGTTCTGTCCGTGGCTTGATAAATAGTGGACAGTATGACGTGAGAGTTCAGCATGATGGATGTTTCTATTTACGAGAGACAACAGCAGCAAGTGGCTATTACACACAAGTACAGATTGCAATGTTTTGTTCACACAGGAAAATGTGCAAGTTCATGGTGTGGTCCCAGACTGATTATGTCATTGTAAATGTGATGTATAATGAAGAATGGGTAAATAACAGAATTTCACAGCTTAGAGAATTCTATTTCATACATCTACTGCCAACCCTTACAGATAACATTGCTAGAGGGAATCTACATATAGTTGACTTACAAAGCTAAAATGGAATGGATATCTGCAAACAAACAAAAGCCAAGATTTAAATGATTTATGGTTTTAAGTACAAGTACATGTACATGTAAGCCTTACAAGTTAGGAAAGCATCCACATGCAGAAGTACTTAGCAAAATACAAAAATGTATGTTATCTTCAAGTAAACGTGTATCCTCCACCCTTATTGGTCAATCCTTGGCAACAACATATCACACTGTTGCATCAGTGTGATACACAATGCATATCCTTTCACACGTTCCCTATTCCAAGCTGCATGCGCAATAACCGCTAAAAGGTTCTTGTTAAGCGTGCTAGTTCCAACACACATGCCCACTTTATACTGTGCATCAAGTTTACTTGAAGATAAATTTGTTACCCCGCTCTTGCTCGTAGAACACGGAAAAGTGTAGTGTGTCTGTGTCCATAGACGCACCAAATTATTCCGTGTTACACACGCACTCGCGGGATAACTTAAAAAAGTATGAAATATGTATTTAGCAAAGTATTTAAAATTTCAAACATGTGATGTAAGTTTATGGGCGAGGTTTTGAACAGCATATACTTGTACCACCAGAAAAAAAAATTGTGCAAAATTTAAAACTTGGTTTCATGGAGGTGTGAACTTAGTACTGACTACATTGTAGCTAAGCAGGATAAAACTCAGTCCTCATCTTCAAACAACCATTCATCCTCAAAATCATCATCTGACTCTGTGATCATTTCCTCAGTTTCAGGCTCTCCTTGAATTAGTAGCGGTTGTAGATTACACAAACCTGCACATACAGTGACAATGTTGTCCACATTCATGACACGTCCTGGGATAACTGTGCTTAATATCTTGTAACACTTCAGGCGTCTGATGGCTCTTTCCACATGTATACGAACATTTGCAAGTCTCCTTGTGCGTGTAACCTCCTCTTCTGGAAGTATATGGTCCTTGTTGCCAGTGGTGAAAGCTGGGATGGATAATTTCACCCCCGGTGGCAGAATGTCATCAATGGTAAACCCCTTGTCAGCAAGAACTTCATCACCAGGTTGTAGATGCTGTAAAATTCCTGAACTTTGAGTGATAAATTTGTCACTTGCACGCCCACCAAATAGTTTTGATAAGTACATGACAAAGCCATTGGGAGCAATACAATAAAGAAGCTTGAATGTATTGTGATGCTTATAATTTGAATAGGTCTGAGCACGTTGTTTCAGGTTCCGTGGTCTTTGTACAAACATTTCGGTACAATCTATTATACAAGTGGCCCTAGGATAGTGTTCCAAAAAGCATCTTGGTCTGATCCTTTGCAGTGTGTCCCTCGAAGGCCAAAATATCAAGTGTTCACGCATAAATCTTGCCAAGATGGGAATCCATTCTCTGAAAATCTGGCATGCTGTAGATTGGGAAACCTTAAAACGTGTTCCCAAGTCAAAGAAGAACAAACCAAGTCGGAGTCGCATCAACACAAGCAGAAGTTGATTGCAGAGCTTCATCTTGAAAGTTGGCAGATTTGGCAAAATTGACAGGCATTTAACCAATACCTAAAATACATGGACACTCAAGCCAGTGTAGAATTTGCTCGTATCATCACCCATATCAGATGCGGACAGTTCGGGAGAGGTATCCGTCTGACGTGTCTGAGTTGCTTTCACTTGGCTTTTCATGGGGCAACTGGGATTTGTAGCATATGTGTGATCTGCAGTGCTAAAATCATACCACTGCACTGAGGCGTCTTTACATGTAGTTGCTAAAGAAGCAGGCAGTATGGTTTCTCCACACACAGGGGAAGCATGTGGCATCTCATGAACGGCATGCTCAGACACAGACACAGATTCTTGCTCTTGAAGCTTCAAATCTCGTCTCAATCTTGGGGCATGTCTGCCAGAAGATAGTTGTTTCTGTAATGACAAAAATGTATACATGTACATTCATCTATCCCCAGACCATGTGTTCATCTTGCCCTTAAGCTTGCGTCCCATTATAAAGCTATGTAAATTTCAAACTATAGCATAACCACCCCTGGCTGAAAGGTAAGGTCGGAAAATCCCTCATATGACATGTAATAATTTCACATGGCTTATTCCAGCCACTGTTCAGAGAATATACTTTGTTGCTTAAAAATATTCAGACACCTGACCCTACTACAGCAACCTACAGATTGTCAAATTATTTACCTATCAATGGATTAAACATATTTAGTAGTAATGTGCCATGATTTTAGAACTTACGTGAGGTTTATATCCCATGTGCAGTGATGGGTAGGGGTTATTCTTTGATGGTTTCCCATCCTGAAAGTGGATTGAGCAAATCTGCAAAATGAAAAAAAAAATGAATAAATATAAAACTAAACCTAAACAAATTTATTTATTTGGTCAGATATATTGGCTTTGGGCAGCACCGCAGGTTACTATCCCTCCGTTCATCACCAAACACTTCAAAAAAGGGAGAGTGCTGTTTTTTTTATTTCGCAGGCTATTAAACAATTTATTGGATTTTCGTTTTTGTTTTTTGTAATTTCGCCAAAAAAGTAAACCACACTTCTTACAATAGCCTGCGTGAAAAGTTGATATCCAGGCATTTTTGGATCATTTTCCCTTGTAATATGAAATAATGTACACCACAACATGTGCAGGCACACAACTGGAAATCAACTTACAAGACATTATGCAGATTGTCAGACTGAAAAAAAAACGATACTTTTTCCACAGGTGATAGGGGCTAAAGATACACATACACGTACACGTAGTTTGGAAAAATTCCATACACAGACATTGTTAATAGTTTTCTGCAGTGGCATACACTGTAGTAAAGTTGGTCTCATTTAGTTTTGCACGTTTCTGAGCACTCCAGAGCACTGTCTGGCTAGTCTTCAAGTTTTATTAATTTATAATTAGGCCTAATATTCAACATGTTCAATAAAGTTAAACTACACTTGTCAAATGTCAGTTTATCAGGTAATTTAAAAAGGTGTGCATACTCACCCTGCTATTTTTAGTTGGCTCAAAGTCCTTTCTATTAAGGTTTTTAATCCAATTATTACGGCTGCTGAAGGACCACACCTCACAGTCACTGCCGGCGGGAAATCTGTGTAGCTGCCATGGTTGCACACAGGAACATTCACGATGAGACTTTGGCGAGTGCAGATCGCACACCGACGTTTTCCACTCAGACAGCTTTTTGCTGCTATTTTTGCAGCCCACCACCGCACAAACTTTTCCTGAATTTCCCGAACTCATTTCCTCTTTGCCTTTAATTTGGTTTACTTGAAATCTGGAGATGAGCTTAATTATAAACGGAAATATCTCAAAAATTGACTTTCGCCAATGTATCTGTGCACAAAATTTGACAAAAATGCGTCCCAGCAATGGCGGATTTGAAGAGCGCCACCTTGTGACAGAAATACAGCGGCGCCGAAAACGCGCGTAATGGATTTGTCTATAGCAAGTGCCCTAGACGTTGTTCTGACAGGTTCGTGGGTGATATTGGCTGGTCGTGATAGCGCCCTCTCGCGGTGGCCGGTCATCGCGGTTGCCGGTTATCGGCGTAGCAAACAAGAACAGCGTCTAGCCCCTAGACTAGCTTAAAGTACGACATAAGAATATTTGTGAGATATTGGCACTTCTGACAACTTGTACATTTTTCACTCTGGTTGTTATTATATATCTACTTTGTTTCAAGGGCCCGTGAAATGTATTTTTTTTTAATGCAATCCTTAAAAATGCACCTTCTTATAGAATACAAGCCGATTTACCCGATCATAGATCGGGTAGGGCGTATTTGTGTTGGGGTTGAGTATGTGGGGAGTTAAATGTAAATGGGAATTTAGTTGAGAAGACAAGCAGTTATAGAAAAGCAATTTCTGTGGCGCTATCTGAGGCAATTTCTGACCACGATAGTAAAACCACTGTATTGTTTGAACAACTTAAAGATCATCTTTTAAACATCATTTTCGAGTTTGGAGTCATTGATTAAGCTATTCTGAGCAAAAGAATATTATAGTAGGCTACAATTTTTATTCGGGGAAGAAAAAGTGTGGGGGGGGGGGGGGGGTGGACCAAACCGGATATTCCCCGATTTAAAATGTTGGGGTGGGGGTCCTCCGTCCCCCACCGATTGACGCCGATGATAATTATGTACCATGGCATGTATAACTGTTTGTAAATGTTCCCGTTGGTTTGTTAAAATGACATTTTTTGATTACTGTAGTACACAGGCGAAGGCTGATTGTACAGTTTTGACAATAAATCATAATGCAATAAAATGTGAAAGTGTCATTTGAAATGAAAATGTTGAGTGTTACCATAAAATTACAAACGGTCTGAATCATGGAGGAAGGTCATAATTAAGTTTCAGTATTGGACTCTTCAACAGACGTAAACTTGAACTTCTTACAATTTGCGAGACCGTCTGCGAGGAAAAAGTCGATTCAACTTTTATTCAAGTTGGTTCAACCACCTATATAAGAGCAAGTTTTACTCGGCCTCCGAGAAATGTTTGCTCCTGAAAGGATCCGAGACCGCGGCTTCACGTCTGTGGAAAAATGTGGAGGGTGTCTTCCACCGGGTCGGACACTTTTTGTCGATTTTTTTTGTGACTGCGTTTAAGATCGCGGTATTTGAAGCAATGCATCGATCCTTCGTTGATCCCAAAAAGGCCCCTGAAATTATAACATTATACGTGGCGGGCAGCGACCTCACAACGCTCAGTCTTGGTGGATGCATGGAGCTATAAACCATGATGGAAGCAACAGAGCACTATATCACGTCACATGCTTGTGCTGCAAATAGCGAGCACCGTAGACCCAACCTCGTTTCCAGGGTGTGGAGCAAGCTGCAGTACGCGTTGCCTTCGACGGTTTTACGCATAGCTCGGAATTAGTACTACGCAGTGTAGACTTTCGATTGGTCAGACCGCCCAAGGCATACTAATGTGTGGTCCTTCTGAGTATTCGTTGCACTCGGCGCAGGGGCGGCAAGCGAAGCATATGAAATAATAGGGACACTTGATGGCCACGCACCATGGACAACAAATATTTTGCCAAGGTCACCCCATGCTACCGTTTGGTGAACTCTTTTGCAAAACAGCCAAGTAGAACACGTAAACGCAACCCCTACGTCGAAGCCGCTGACCTCGCACAGTATAGACACGCAGAAAAAGCCAGCACAGGGGGCGGACAGGCAGTCAACGTGAAAGCGCACACGACGGCAAATTCCTGCGCAAAACGCAGTCACGAAAAATCGACGAAACGGATCGCCGGTCCGTACGGGAAAATCAGGACGACCCGAAGTGTCCAACCCGGCGGAGGACACCCTCCGCATTTTTCCACGGACGTGGAGCGATTTTGGCGCCGCGGGAGCCCGCGGTCTCGGATCCTTTCATGAGCAAACATCGTCTAGGAGGCCGAGTTAAACTCTTTCTTATATATATATATATTTTGGTGCCTTTTTGGTTTTTATGCTAATGCGAATTTCCATAATCATGAGCAAAAGTATGCTGTCATATCAGAAAGAAAACTAAATGTTGCAATTAGTTTGTGCACAAAACGTTGCAAGAATTTGGAATATTTCACTGTCGTAATAAACCTTCTTTTCATGGGTGATTTGTTGTTGAGTCAGTTTTTAACAGTAATCCATGGTGAGCAAACATTTCTCGCAAATGTTTGCAATGAGCAAATGATTGCGTTCACATTTTGAACAGAAAAACACCTAATATGAACAGTGTCTTCCGAAATGACATCATGGCAACAGCGCCCTCAGTTGTCCGGAAAAGGATGGAAAAAATGTTAAATGTTTAAAGAAGTGCACTTTTCTATAAATTTAATCAAAAAGGGATGTCAGTTAGTATTCATTTACTTAAGAGGATTAGAATGTAACCCCAAATATTTTCCTAAGAAATATTCCCTTCATATGGGCCCTTTAAAGTACACGTTCTACTATTTTTTGCCCTTCTTGACATCAATATAAATTGTCAATACATTTTTCAGATTGTGATCTATACTGACGAGTTTTTTTTTTATTTCAGTTCCAATATACCTTCTTATGTACTTCTATGTTTGTTGAAACCCCTACGACACCATCCTTCACGTTTCGTCGAACCATTGGCAAATTAATAGTGTCACTGTTCGCTAATAATTTGGTAGGTCACTCTTCGTTGTTTTCTCTACCAGTTCAATTACAGTTTAACGCAACATCCCAAAGATAAAAGCTGTAAAATAATAGAGAAGAAAATCAAAACATATTGCCATATGCTAAAGCGATTTTCATCGTGGATCTGTTAAGCCCTCCTAATTTAGACTCAGATATATATAGCACGGACAGTGGGTCTTTAAAGCCAACAATAAATTGTAATCAGTAAAATATTTTGGAGCAGAAGTTCCGTCTGGTGTCGCGCCGAGTAATATTTTGTTCAGTCTGAAGGCCAGCCGATTGCAATATTTGCACCTACGTCACTAACACACTGACTCAATCACTATATCACTGGTTAAAGACGGACACGACAGTGCAATGGCATAGGATCCAGGGGCGGATCCAGGAATGTTCGCAGGGGGATTGTCATCAGCAGAAAAAAATTGAAATGTACACAGGTTTTTTTTCTCCGGACACTTGGCATCCTAAAATAAAAAATCTGGGGGGGGGGGGGGCTGGTCAAATTCGACGATTAACACTAAATTACAGAATGGTGTACAGTATTTTGAACAGGCTGACATTATACCAAATAATTTTTCGGGGTGTCGCAGCAGGGAGGGGGGGGGGTGTTTGCATTACTTTATAGGAATTTGTATGCTATTTTTTTTTGACAGAGCCGGGGGGGGGGTGACCCCCAAAACCACCCCAAGGCCCCCCCCCCCCTCGATACCCGTGCCTGTGATCTTTAACCTGTAAAATGAATGAATGAGCCAAATCCGACATGTTGTGTCTGTTAAGGAGAATACACGAGAAAGTGTGGATTCGTAATTTAAGAATTCACGAGGCGTGAAGCGCCGAGTGATTCGTACATTAAGAATCCACACTTGCGAGTGTATTCTTCGACTTAAACCATTGCGTCAACAGAAGTATTGGAAAGAATGCTGCAACCTGACGCTACTTTTTTATTCATATATCATCTCAATGAAGGCCATTCGTTTCAAAAATGATGATAAGACATGAATCTGGGACTGATAAATGTTTCCAAAATTGTTAGGAAATACTTGAAATGACTCTCCATAGACAGCGCGGAAGTGGCGTCAGTTTGCAACATTGTTTCCTGTCGTGTTTAGCATGTGTATCGACACACAACCAAGTCATTTTGTTTGTATAGGCTCCTTACGTCAAAATGGATAGTTCAGACGACGATTTCTTTCTGACTAAAAGTAAATTTACACGATATGCAGGGCCCACCTCCTTCAATTATCATAGTTCATTTAGGTACCAATGACCTGGGTTATATTGATTTTTTCTCAATCCTACAGAGGTTAGTTATGTATATGCAGTGTTGTCGTGTACTGTACCCCCACGCCACATTACTTTGGTCAGAGATCTTGCCAAAGGCTTTTTATTTTGGAGCCAACCCCCAGGAGGCGATGGACAGGCAAAGGCGGTCTGTCAACAGGTGGGCTCGTTCTCGTTGCGGCCGCCTTGGTGCCTTCTCAATAAGGCACAATCAATTTAATCAGACAAGTTTCAATCTTTACAGACGTGATGGTGTCCATCTGTCTCCTGAAGGGGCCATGGTTTTCAGGGCAAACCTTTGCTGTGCCATTAGGCAATCTCTGCAGCCGCAGGTGGGGTAGGGGTGTATAGACATAGGGTGTTTTCTTCCTTGGGCCGCGCTCTGCGCGTGTGGCATTTTTTGAAGCGGATAAAACACCCATGGTCCATTAATGATTTTTTACTCCTGCCATTACGATTTTGTAAATAATACTTAGGTTAAACAAAGCACAGTTTGCAACATTATGTTAGGTGTGAGATATGGCCGAATAATGGTTTCTCCACTGAGAAGTGTGAGATCCGTTCGTGAGTTGATGACTCGAGGTGATGCTGCTATGAAATAGTCTGTTTTGGCATCGTTGAGCTTGAGTTTGTTAGAACCCATCCAGTGTCTGATGTTCATGATACAGGTAGAAAGCCTGTCGAGTGCTTTGTCTGAATCCCCAGGGATGGAAGGATTAAAATAGGTACAAAGTTGGGTATCATCTGCATAAATGTGGTAATGTAAATTATGTAGAATGTAAAGAGCAATGATCCTATTACTGATTGGACCATCTGACTGATTTGAAGGCATCATTTTTCAAAATTGCGGCGACTCTCATACTTTTTTTATGTTTTTGGATGATCATTTTTGGATGGAATTTTATCCCCAGCATCACAGGATTACCCACCTGCAATTTGAACAGGAATAAAAGCAAGCTTTAATTGAATTGGTGTCTCAAATACCTTGGAGA